TTTGTTTATCCACATATTGTGTAGAATTATTTATATTTTTGTTGTTATTTTTGTTTTTGACATGTATTGTAAAATTGTGAGCAAATACATTCAAGTGATTTGTAATTACACTGAGAGAAACATTTATCTGTGTGTTGTTTGTGTTTTTATTTGTGTGTGTGTATATTATATATATTGTTATTTTGCTGACTAGTTTCTTATATTTCCGGATAATTAATCGGGTTTCGGTGTTTTAAATTTTATTTGTTCAAATACTACTTGCAGCTAAGTTTATTACATAAATTTACCATGTAAATACATATTTTTTTTGTTTTTGTTTTTTTTTGTCTTTTGTATTATATGTTTTTCAAGTACTATAACGGGCAACTCTACACACTGGATGTTGTTCTTGTTATTTTTGGTTGTTGAAACTCGAATAGCTTTGAGCAATTTTGGGTCATATGTCTCTAAAAGGGATAAGTTCTTTATGTCGAAAGGCTTTTGCATCCTCCCTTCACATACATTCGTAAATATATATTTAACTAAATATGATACATTAATCACATTGCCAGCCTCTTAACACGCAATGCTGAAGCAGGGAAAGTTGAGAGGAAATGTTGAGAGAAACGCTGTGGAAAGGTAGAAAACTCACATGCCATATAATATACACAATGCTAAGTGCTATTGGTATTATGTTTTTTTGTCGAGTATCTGGGGCAAGAAGAAATTTGCTTGGTTTGGTTTTTAAGGCACCATTAAAATTGCTTTTCTTACACGTATTTTTCCTTTGCAAATTTACAAGTTTTCAACAAATTGTATTTAATAATTTACATACACATACACATTAATTAGTAAAAATTCATTTGAAATTGTTGTTGTTGCTGTTTTTCAGCTATTTTAAATGTAGTTCCCTTATACACACACATGCACATAATTAATTTATCCCTTTTGTCACTGTTATGATACAAATAGTCCCAGTTACTATCCGCAGTTAACCCGTCAACGTGCGTCCTTTTATTATATTATTTACGTTTTTTTTGGATTTTCTTTTTGTTTTATTTAGTTGGTTTGTAACTTGCGCAAAAAATTTACTAAATATTTCAAATACAATTAAATACAAGTGTACATAATAATTAATTTAATATATGTATGTATATTTATATATAGATATATAATTTATTTATATATAGATATACGGTTTTGCTTAACGTTCATTCTTTGTTTAATTATTTGTTGTTGTTTCAAAAATGATTGCTTCAAATTGTCATCAGCGAAATATTTGTCTCTAAAATCACGAAATAGTTTCGCTTGATATTTTGCTGCCTGTGTTACACATTTTGCTTGATCCGCATTTTTGTTTTTGTTTTTGTTTTTTTTTTTTTTTTTTTTGTATTTTTATGTTAGTTTTTAGTCAATTAAAAGTAGAGTGTGTTTCAGTTAACAATAATGCATTTATCATTATTATAATTGTTTTTTTTTTAATGCTATTAACAATTTCCTGTAATCAAGTTTTGCTTCATAAGTGTTTTTTTAATTATTATTTATATTATAATGCAAGTATATAGATAGGGGAATATAAGAAACACATGCTCTTCTTTTGCTAAGTATTCCATGTCTTCTCCCACTTTGCAAAATAATTCAATGAATGAAATCTTTTAATTTCAATTCCATTAGCCCACAATATGTTCTCATAGAATTGTTGCAGAAATTAATTATTTTGTTAATTGTCAATTAAATAATATATGTATTTTTGGGATATGTTTGCCATTATATGTTTTGTAGTTTGAATAATTTAATTTGCTGATGATTATAATAAATTGTTCGAATTTGAATTGGTTTATTTTTGATGTGGATATGTATGGGTATTTTCTTTATTTATTTATATTAATTTGTTTTGTATGTATGTTTCTTATGCATTAATTTAATTTGTATAATCAAAATTTGACACATATTGTTGCCTGTGGGCGGAGAGCTCACGTTCGAGCTGCCGGCTCACAAAGTATTTGCAACAAACTTTTTAACTATCTTACGGATTGATGTCTCGGCTACAGGCTAAACTAACACACATATAAATTGTAATTAATATTTAATATGCTTATGCATGTGTGTTAGTGTGTGTGTGTATGTGTGTGTGCATTGTTACTATTGTGGCTTATAATTATTAACTAATTTTTGTTTAACAAGCCACAGTAAATTGTTTGCTTTTTTCTTTTTTGCTTTTTAGTGCCCAGCCTAGAGAACTAAACTTTAAAAAAAATTAATTTGAGTAAGTTTAACATTGAAAATCAGTTTATTTTTGATGTTTTGTTGTTTTGCGTATAAATTTAACAGCTAATAAAATAAAATTATACTTTAATTTAAGCATAATTGCAATATTAAGAAAATTAAATCCATTTTTCTCATTTTCTCATTTAGCAGAAAAAGTCTTTTAAATCGCCGCAAATGTGCTTAAGCATTATTATTGTAATTTAAATTTTGACACTTAATTTAACGTTTTCGCTAAAAACCAAATAATAATAAAAAAAAAGCGTTGTCTAACAAATATATAAATTTGGCTTCAAATGTTACGATCAGTTTTTGCTTTCTTTCGCGTTCAACAAATTATAGCTAATTTCGAAAATTGAAAATCAAGTTGTATTAAATTTAATTTAATTTAATTTAATTATTTAATTATTCAATAGTTTTTATATTATGTAGTTTAATCAATAAAATGAATCAATTTTGTCCTTCAGTCTAAACATATTCAAAAATCACAAATACAATTTCGATAACAATTACAATAATAAAAATAATAAAATTACAAATTATGATATCAATTAATATATGTATTTATAATGTAATCTGTGTAGCGTTATATTTATATGAATCGATGTAATTCATATGAATATAAGCAACAAACACATGAAATTTATGTCGAAAATAATTGTTCATTTCTGTTTTTTTTTTAGTTTTGTTTTGTTTTTGTTTTTGTTTTTGTTATGCTTGTCTCTTTGCTTTGTTTGCTTGCTGTTTTGGCCTGGCTTGGCTTGGTTTAATTAAATCTTGTTATACCCTTTTTTTGAGTTTTATATTTTTTTTTTTTTTTGCCTTATGTTGATGTAAGTGTATTTATTTATGTTTTTGTCTGTTTTCTTTTTTTCCTTTTTTTTTTTGGTTATGCACACGCACAATTACTTGGCTTAAGATTTAACTGCATTTAGAAATTTGTTGTTGTTTCTTATGTTTTGTTTGCTGTATTGTTGGTTAATATTTTTTTATTTTATTTATGTTTATGTTTTTTGTTTGTTTTCTGCTTTGTTGCATTTGTCTTCATTTTGACTAAGCTTAGAATTAATTGCTGTTCTGTTCTTACTATGAGGGCGCGCCTACTGTGAAGTTTGGCGCCCGAAAACGGTTTTAACATAAGGTTCATTTTTTATTTTTTGATTTTAAACTTAATAAAAAATATCATAATTAATAAGAATCAATGAATAAATATAACGTGTATATATGCTTACATGTTTGTATGGGCGTGGATGTGTGTGTGTGTGTAGATGTGTGGATGTGTGTCTGTGTGGGAGCTGTGTTTCTGTGTATGACATCTGATGCTTTATGCTCCTTCTTCAAGTGATTTGACCTTGTCATATGATTTGTTTACTGTTTTTTATGTTTATGTTTTTCATCTTATTGCTTATTGAAAATGCCGCTTCCACTGTCAGCTGTCAGTTGTCAATTGCGACAGTTTTTCGGCTCCATTCGATTTGCTTTTTGCTTGTATTATTTATTTTGTTGTTGTTGTTGTTGTTATTTGTTGTAGTTGCGTTGCACTTAGTGTATGGGCGTTTTAACAATTGCACTGGGCGCGATATAATGGTAGCCGGGTATGGGCAGTCCAGCGGTCTCCATTGATATTCTGCAAGGTAAGAGAACATGATTTAGAACAGTTCTATTTATGATAATTATTGTAAATTTAAATGAATATAAACAATAGTGTGCGCGAAGCTCTGCTTCTTATCTGTGCCTGTGCCATAGCTCTAAAATGGGTTCCCTTATGTCTCTGGTATCCACAAGCTGCAAGCTGGGCTAATGAACTAACCTAACTGCACCTGCATTTTTTTTGGAATGTGTATCATTTGGATTATTTATTTAATGACTGAGTTAAATATACTATAATACCGCGAAGTTATTTTAATAAAAATATATCAAGCTTCCTGCTTCGTTCTGTTCATTATGACAACGAAAAGGTTGAAAATGACTGATAAGAGTAGATCATTAGGGCTTTTAGATTATTATTAAAAAAAAGTTGTCTAAATAAACTCGCTTTACTCATTTAAAAAAAAACGTTTGAAGCCCGCACTTACTTTTCCGAGCTAAAAGAAAGCTTAAATGGAATATTGTTATTAGATTTCATTGAGGTCGTGTTTTTGTTTTTAGTACTTCTTCATTTTTATTACAAACGCAGTTTTCATTACAATTTGCTTTGATTGCATATAAATATGTTTGCTTGTTTGCTGGTTTTGTAATTAGTTTTTGTTCGCAGCTAAGAATCGCGACTAAAGGTAAAAAGCGATTTCTTTAAATTGGTAAGTTTTTATGGTGTGCCTATTCATGAAAAGTAGTTAGTTAGTACATATACATTCATTACAAGAACTATTATCGATTTGCGTTTGACTCGATCTCTACTTTGTGTAAATGTCGTATAATATACGTGTATGTATTTTAAGTTAATTTATGTTTTGTATATATGTATATGATTTGGTTATAAAATCGTAAGCCCGCTTAGCTTAAAAATAAATTTATTACAATTTGTGTCATTTCACTTAGTAAATAATAAAAACTCTTAATCGTATGTATTGTGTAAAAGGGTAGAGAAATTTCAATTTCCAAATACTTTTTTCTTTTTTCATTTCAACAATCATTTTTCAACAATTTAAAAATGTTTTGGTTTTATTTGCTTGATTATACAATACAAAATAATATTAATATAATAATAATAATAATAATAACAAATATACGATCGTATAATAAATACAATACAATAATTTAGAAAATACCAAATTACAACTAATCCGAATATGACTTAAAAACAATTTGAAGACTTCAAGTCCAATACATAATAACGTTTCCCGTTTTCTATAAACTTTACGCTTAACAACATTTACGAGTACAAATGTTTCTCTCGCTGCCTTCAGTTGGCTTCTTTTAAGTGTGTTTCTCTAAAATTTTTGTAGTTTTTTTTTTTAAGCCTTTGTACGCTCACTTGCGTGGATTGCGTCAATTAGAGCGAATTGGTCCATAAAAGTCGTTGTGCCGAATTCTTTTGAGCACAATGCATTGGAATTTTTAGATTTAATTTTTGTTTTAATTTCTCGTTCAACTTCTTTAAGAAGTTTCCTTTTGCGTTCTCGACACATGGCTGAGAAGGGGGCTTTATACTTAGGGGCTAGAGCGTAAAATACATTTAGTGCTTAGCTGCTAGTTAGAGAAAATATGAATATTTGCTCATAGAGATATATTGGAGAATGTTTAGAGGGGGAGTGTGATAGGGTCATAGATGGCATCTATATATTTTACAATAAATGTGTAAGGAGGGGATGCTAATATTATATGTGCTAAATATTTATATATATATGTATGTATATGTATACTGCTACCTGTTATCGAAATTCGATAGTAAGCGATTCACAAACTATACTTTCAGGTTTTTCTTCTCTGTCTAGGGTTGCGCTAAAATTTGGCAAATTCTATAATGTACGATAGTTGATTTAGTTTATGTAACTATATAAAAAGGGATTAGGGCAAAAGACTATAACACCTATTAGAAGAAGGGTCCTTATGCTGCATTTCACTTGGTCAAAGTTTTTGATTACAATACTTGGGCTAGGTTCATGATTTTTCACTTCTTATAATCAATGTTCTTCCTCTGCTATATTCGATACACGATTTTGTTCAAGTGCTTGATCGGTATATATGTATATGTATGTGTAAATAACTGCCGTATTTGACAGTCTTATAGAATAATTGTTTTCAAAAAACATTAATAGATATATGCGGCATTGAAAGACATAGGCCTGAGCTACAAACTAATTTGGATACTTTAGCGAATGGGCCATCAACTAGTTTATAAAAATTGTCTTTAAATTTTTAAATAGTTTTACAAATTTTACACTTAAAGATTTTTGTTTTGTTTTTTTCACTTAAATCGTTTTCTCAGAGCAAAAATTCTTCAAGAATCGTAAACTCTTAAGCTGTCGCTACGCTATAAACTTGTTAAGAACTAGAAGAAGCTAACACTAACTCGACTATTAGCAAATGATGATCGCATTTTTCTGGGGTATTTTCTTTAAATATTTGGGTATTACTTTTGGGCTGCCAAGATTGTTCGTCCGACTGGGCTGGTTTTTCTACTGCTAGTTGTATTTATATGGCCTACCCCTAGTAGGGATTAAACTTGTTGCGCGTCTTCTCCGACTCGACGCCGGCCTCGGTCTGATGCTGCCTGAAGCGCGAGGTCGCATAGTGACCCTTGGCACGGTTAACGCCCGTGGTCTGTACCGGCGGTCCGCCGGGCGTGCCACTGTTGCTGCCATTGTTGCCCAACGATGTCAGGCTAAGCAGATCCAAGGCGCTCAGATTTGATAGGGCCGTGAGGGCGCCCGGTTTGGTCAGAAGTTGCAAGGCCGACGCCAGTGGACCGCCGCCCAAAGCAGCAGCCGCTGCTGCTGTAGAATTTATGCCCAGAGCTGCGGTGTTGCCAGCTCCGTTGTTGTTGTTGTTGTTGTTGCTGCTGTTGTTGTTGTTATTATTGCTGCTGCTGTTGTTGTTCTGGCTGCCATTTGTGGCATAGTTGGAGGCGCCGCCGCTGCTGCTGCCATTGCTGCTGGCCGAGCTGCTGCTGTTGTTGCTACTGGAGCTGTTGTTGGCACTGCCCGTGAGCGAAGCCGTCAAACAGCTGTTGCCATTGACACCGCCAGCAACTGCGGCTGCCGCTGCTGCTGCTGCCGCGGCTGCTGCCGTTGTTGTGGCGCCAGCAGCAGCAACACCGCCAACAGCTGCTGCCAGTGCGGCAGTGCCATTTTGTGCTGCCTGATCCTGAAGATTGGCCTTCTGCAGTTCAACGCTGTGGATGAGGTACACAGAGAGATAGATAGAGACAGAAAGAAAGAGAAAGGAACTTATGGGATATTGTTGTTTTTTTTTTTCAGGTATTTTTCAAAACATTTTTTTTGGTGATTTTGTGGAATTGAGTTGGTCAGTTCTTTAATTTTTGTTTTTTTTTTTTTTAATTGCTTTAGTGTTTTGTTATGCAAAAAGGTTAAGGAGGTTTTTGTGTGGAGGAACGGTACGGAGTAAACGGAAATATAGCAAAGTCCTGAGGAGAACTTTTGGGCGCTATGTTTGGTTTGTTGATGGTGGGAGCGGCGTTCAAATTTTTTGATATTTGGATGGTAGGAGTAGAAAACATGGTTATTTTTCTAGTTGTTGGACTTGACCGAAATAGTATTTAAAAGTTTTTTAGGATTGAGCTTTAATTTGGTGGGATTTTTGGTTAAGTTTAGTTTGTTGCGGGTTTGGGGAGAGAGGAGCATAGTTTTTATTTGGTTTTTGTTGTTGTTTTTTTTTTTTGTAATTTCTGTGGAGAGGTTGAACTGCAGTTTCTTTTTTGAAGTACCAATTGTTTCAGTTTCAGTTCCAGTTTTAATTTGCTTGTGTGTGCGAGAGTGCGACGCGTGACGTAGTTTTAGTTGATGCTGTCCATTTTGCTCCTGCTCCTCCTCCTCCTCCTCCAACTTGACTGCTGAGCTGAGACTTTTTGTGTATATATACACATATATACATTGGTATACTAGATGCTAGGTTATATATATTTATATATAGAATTAAAGGTTTATAAAGAAATGTATGTTATGCTAGAGTTTAGAGTTTTCTGGTGCTGAATTGTTTCAAGTTTTGTCTATGCATGAAATTGTGCGTTACATTTCAGTACATTTTGGAACTACATATGAAAAAAGCAGTTAGGTGCTGAATGCGAGCTTACGACTTATAATACACTAGTGTAGAGTTTGAGTTTAAGCTTAAGATTACAAGAGTTTTGAACGCTCTGCCCCAGACTCTACATAAACAAGAATGACTTAAAAAAAATACTGAGAGACCGAGACGACCGATACGACCGACGACCTCCTTAGACCTTATTTTCTGACTTTGTCAATTTGCAAATCAATTCGACAAAATGCATTTAGACAACAAATACACACACACACACATATATTTATATATCTGTTAAATAGTTTAACGTGCCGAGTGACTCACCTCATATTAATTAAGTATTGGGCCAATGCCACCGAATCTGGATTACCGCTTATGGTGATGGTGCGATCGGTATTGCCGCCCTCGCGCTCCTCGCAATTTGAGATGCGTATCATGGCGCCGGAGATCTGACGTATTTCAGCAATTTTGGTACCGCCCTTGCCAATGATGCAGCCAATCAAATCATTTGAAACTGTCATCTCGTGCTGTTGTTGCTGTGCCCGATTCGCATTGGCCGTACGCAGCTGCGAACCAGCCAAGGCAGCCAGAGCTGTAAAAAGCAAAACCATCGATTTTTAGTACACAACACAAATGCATACATGCAAACGAAAAACACTCTGCGTAATACCATCGGGACTTACCTGTGTGATTTATACCGCCGGTGCTGGCTGGCGTCATGCCGGCCAGGCCCAAGGCAGCCAAACTGGCCAATGGATTCTTGGCAACCTGTTGGAAAGGCAACTCGACATTACAAACTTTATTCACATTAATTATATTAGTTGTTATTATGATTATGTTCTTGAGAGAGGTAGTACATGGGCATATATTACTTGATTAGAGTCTTTCATGTTTGGATCGGTTTTTGTACATATAAATATGTGGTTAGATATTATCTTTTCGTATAGGAACGGGTATCACAACACAACGCGCGTACAGGTTTTAAAAAACAGACGAACGTAGAAAACCCATACAAAATATACAAGAGAAATATGAAAAATTAAAAAACTTAAAATAGTAGAAACAACATAATGTGAATTACAATAAAAAAGCAAATGCAAAAAGAGCAAAGCCAAAACAAAAACAATTTTGCTTACATATCAGACAAACATTATTAACATTTTGTACAGGTTAGAAGAAACATTTGAAAAAGCATTTGTCTCTCTGTGTGTGAGTGTGTGTCTGCGTGTGTGTGTTTTGTAGTTTTTGTTGGTTTCGTTTTTGGCAAGGATTCGAAAGTATTCTGTGACTTTTGCTAATGTACTTGTTGTGTTCTTTGTGAGTATAGTAGTATTTTGTGTATTTTCTAGACTAGTTTCATATGTACTACTACACAAGAAAGAGTTGGATTTATATTTGAATATGGGATATTTAGAGCTACAAAGACAGAGATCAAATACATAAAGTATGAAATTACAATTAATACTTTAACAATGGAGTATTCACAGGATCAGCTTTGACGTTTAGGGCTATAAACATCTAATAACAGTATAGGATATATATAGAAATTACAGTTGTCGCTTGTTACTAATGTTTTAAATAAATATAATAACTACATTTTGAAATACCCATCACTACCCAGCACGAAAATCAATTGATTATTGTTGAAATATAACAAATTAAGATTTGTCAAAAAGTAATTACTATAAAAACTAGCTAGCTTTAGCTCTGATCAGCATATCTAATAATCTTTCATGGTCTACAGAAGTGATGTACGTGGTATACTTCAGCCAGTCGGTGGCATATACATCTATTAATGTAAACAATCTGCCTGAATGTCATTATTTTCTTAGATGAAATTAAGCAGATTTTTTAATTCCCTGCTGCTCTTTGAAACGCCAACCCAGTTCCATTCAAATCAGTTACCACCAAATGCATTCAAAACTGCAGCCCACAAACTATATTTGTACGATTTGCTCAAGGACTTACATATGCATAGGTATTCAAAGTTTTGCATCCGCAACACCTACAGCAAATAACATACAAACACACGCACGCACACACACACACGCACGCACAGCGCATCCTTTACAGCTGCAACTATATGCATTATGTACAACATATACATATATATATGTTAGGGAAACGGGGTTTTGGAAGGCAGACACAACATCAGGGCAGCACGCTTTATAAATTAATCAAATCGAATGCAAGATTTGCAAATAATGAATGCATGTTGCACAGATACATCTATATAAAATGCAACACACGAATGGAATTAGGGGAAAAATATCGCGACAAAAAAAGAAGAGAGTAAGAGAAATCATAAAATATTAAAATGGAATGTTGATGTGTATTTCTGTGTGTGGTGTGCATGTACATGCACATATATATGTCATATATTTGGCATATACAAATGACTATACATATGTGTGGTGTCTTTTTTTTTTTAAATCAAATATTTATCTAATGCAGAAACAAATAAACATGCACTGTATGAAAATATAGTTTGCTGTGCACTTCTCTTACAAATGGAAATGAACTTGCAACTCAATACGAAGAGAGGGCGGGCGCAGGTTGGGTGGGCGGGCTGTTAAAGGGTCACAAAACTCGTCATAGAAAGTAGCGTTTGGCGTATTAAATAAACATATCTTGGGGCCACAACACACAGCAGCATGGCTAAAACAATTCACAAATTATATTGCAACTCTTGAGCCATAAAAATGCATTTGATGGGTTCGCTCTGGGTCCCCCGAGTTGCCGGATTTTCAGCGTGGTGGCCCAACTAAAAACAAAACTAAAAACGGAAAAAGGATGAACGAAATCCAACAACTTTGTGGTCCAACAGTTGCTTGGGGAAGAGGGGAGCATGGGAACAGCATGGGGACACACAACGTTAATGTTATTGAAATGTGGCCTGACCACAGTTGCATCGCTGGGATCGTAAAAGAAATGGCAGAGGTAGTAAAGGTAACTACAAGAACACAAAACTACAAAACACAGACGATATGCAGGGTGTGGGGGGTAACTGGGGAAAACAACTACAGGGCTGGGGAAAAACAAGATACACGAGTAACAACAAACAGCAATGCACAAATACAACTGTATAAGGAGGGGGGTTAACGAACAGGGATGCTGTCAATGGGGCTCACAAAGGCTGGGGGGGAAATGATGTACAGCTAGAGGGGCTAGAGGGTACATTTTGAAATACAGCAACACATGCCAAAAAGAATCAAATGCTGTCTCGGCTCTCGGGCTGGACATTTGTTTATTTTTTTCGACCGATTTGATTTTGGGGTTCTTTTTTTGTTGAGGTTTTAAACTAGTTTCGGTAATTTTAATTGTATTTTCGGATCAATCAAAACTCACATCGGGCATTTGCTGTAGGTGATGGTGGTGTGCTGGTACCGCTCCTGGTAAATGTGCCCCCTTTAACAAAGGATCCGCTAAGCCTGAAATACCAGCATGTAGACCACCGGTAGCCAAAGCAAGTGGAAATACTGGACAGGTCTAATGGTATTTTTTGTTTGTATATTTGGTATTTATTCAATTTTGTGTTTGGTGGGAATTTATGATGTATTTGTTTTGCAAAAGTTTTCAAAGAAGAAAAAAGTAGAAGAACAAAAATGATTTACGAAAAATAAATTTTGAGCTAATATATTTTTGCATATAATTGAAATAGAAAGCTTATGAAATATATTTCACTATATTATTTTTAATTGTAAACTTGCATAGTTCACGTTCGTTGGGACTTTCAAAGCTTTTTGAAGGAAGCGAGAGACAAAAAAAAAACAGTGTGCTAAGTTTTGGGGTAAACGAGGCTGGTCGTGAATATTAATATATGATATAAAGAGTTTGTATTTTCTCAAAAACAAATGCTTAACAACTAAGAGAACAAACTAACAAAGGAACAAAGGATACTGGTTCCAGGTCAATTGGGGTTCGATGGGTGCGCAAACCGTGGATGGAGTCTAAGAGTACTTGATGAGAGAAGGTCAATCAAATTAGCGCAAAGCCACAGAAAGTTGTCAATTGTGTACCCAATCAATACGCAAAATGTACCGAGCGTACTTGAAGTATACCAATCAATCGGTACCCAGGCTTCGTCATGCATTCTGGTGCAACATTTAGTTCTAATTGTACCTAAGTGACAACTTGCAACTGGTGGATAGCGACAATGGACTGGGTTTACTCATTCAACACTACACGCCGCATTAAGCTAAAAACCAACACCGACAATAACCAGGGACGGGAAAAGAGACAGTGATATATATATTGTATATATAAATATATATAGAGCGATTTGTTGAGAGAGCGCAGTTGATGGTACAGATATTTTGAATTATTGTTTTTGTTTGCGGACATTAATTGAATTTGATGTGACAACAAAAACTTTTTGTTTAGTTTAAAACTATTGTTTGGAGCAATGGCTGGCGAGGGCTTAAAGGATTGAATATCAAGTTGTTGTGGCTGTTTTTGTTGTACTTGTTCTTGGCGTTATTGTTGCTGCTGTACAGAGCACAAAATTGAATTTTGGGCTGGGATTAAAACAAATATATATATATAAATAGATATACTTAGATTCTTATGCATTAAGTATATGCGATTATAAACGGACAGAGTAGAGTTGAGTGATGTGAGGGCTCGGGCAGGACGATATTTGAATAGTATGTTGTTTCAGTTGCTAATTGCAATTATATATGTGTTGTTGTAGTTGTTGTTGTTGTTTTTGTTGTTGTTTTATGACAAATGTTGGATAATATACGAATACACAATATGCATTTATAACTCATCTAAAGTATCAGCATTTCTGCTGATATTTGTTTGCTGACGTATTAGTTTTCTTGTTGTTGTTCTTGTTGTTGTTGCTGAGGTGAATTGTGTACTTGATTTTAATTGTTCGTAAATGGGTTTGTTGTTTGGCAAATAACTAAACATTTTAAAGTCTGTTGTAAGTATTCACTACACAAAATTAAGAGTATTATGTATATAGATATACCAAAAAACGTGGGATAAATAGAGAAAGTTTTTGTTTGTGGGGTTTTTTTTTAATGCTCAGTTGAAATACTTTTAGTTTATTTTATTTTTCGTTTGACACTCAAAAGGAGTTTAAGTTGGTTTTTGGTAGTTGTTGTGTGTTGTTTATGAGGTATGTATATTATTTTTGGATTATATTATAGAGCTAGTGTAGTTTGAACATACTTCTCCACACGCTGCACGCGAGCCCTCGTTTCGATTACAACAGAGAGTTGAGAGAACACTTTTTATGTAGTTGTCAGACAAGTGAAGCCCCCGCACAAACTCACTCGGTTACACGGTGAGCAGCCGCGCAATGTAGAACCCTAAAAGACAAGATCCCAAAAGTGCCGTCGCCCCCAAAAAAAATTGGACACGACGCACCTGACGAAATCGAGAGAGCGCACACTCTCATTTTCAAGCTATTAACCTGAGAGAAGAGAGTGCAAAAGAAACTAAAAAACAAAAAACAAATGTAAAATATTATAAATATATTTAGCATTCAATCAATTTTTTATTTTATTTTTTTAGTTGCTGTAAATGATTAACATTAGTTCTTTGACTTTCGGGAGGGCCACCAGTGGACTTTTGAAAAGTTGAGATATTCTTTATGGCTGGGTTCAACAATACAAGATTGATATGCTTATGATCGCAAAGAAATGGTAATCGACTGGGTAATAAGTGGACAAAGAACACCAACAGTTAGATACAATGCGATCTGAACCCAACTGAAGGTTATTCGGGGCATTTCAAGAGGGCAAAAAGTGGGTAACAAGTCGGTTTTGGCTCTAGACAGCTGCCAAGGCTCAAAGGGTTGTTCAAGAAAAGGTTGTGGATTACAAATATAGAAAAGATAAGATAAGATAAGATAGAAAAGAGAAAGAGAGGTGCAAATAATAAGTGGGTTTTCTAAACGAGCATTTCAAATATTGGATTTAATTGTAGAGTGGATAAACAAACTAAAAACTCTTGTTTCGTTTTATACACATAGATAGGCATATAAAGAGATTACATAAAACTCAAAAAAGTTAATTTATCAATTGAGTTATGAGAAGTTGTGATTTCTAGACGCGCATAGAAAAAAACAAAACATAGTTATAGCCAAAATCAAATGGGAATATAATATAGTATAGATAACAGAAAAACATGTTATTTAGCATATGAAAAATGGCAATAAAATAATGTAATTGGATTAAAATGTACTGAGGATCCGTTAAAATATATATTAAAAAAAAAAAAAAATATAGATATAGACATAGAAAGATTCAGCGGCAGTAACTAGCTATGGAATGCGACGTTATATTTGATATTTCGGTTACGTCTACCAACACGGCTTAGCCTAGGCAAAATATACTTTTTGGGCACTGTGCACATACCTCTTGTGTGGGCACCGCATAGTTGCCCTGTATGGTAAAGGCCTGTCCATTGGCCAAGATAACTGGGCCAGTTACTTGCGGCTTTGGTCGATATGGTATGGTAGCACCGCGCGGCGGGGACTGTGAGTGCAAAAAGAAAAATCATTAGTTATGTCAATTGTTAATATAGAGTAGATGTTTTTATAAATTAACTGAACTTGTCAGACTTCCGTAAAATAACTTGAAAGTGCAACTGAAGGCCTTTTAAATGAAATCAGATATATATCTTGAAACAATATCGTTATATTTCCTTCAATCTACAAGATATTCTTGTACTTTACTACAGCTACCTAACCATAAATGGCGTCACAATTCAGTATATTTAAATCTGTTATTGAACAGCATAACTCTTACCTCCAACATGACAAGACATATCTGATAGATGCACTGGGTGATCTGCTCAGCACTGCCGCTCAAAGTAACCGCACGCTCTGTAGAGTTTGGCAACATTTCGCTGGCCACCTGTATGGAGCAGCCCGTGGTTTGGCGTATTTCCTTTATCTTTGAGCCGCTCTTCCCTGAATACCGCAGAATGAAATTGTTGATAGACAAGAGAGCAGGTTAATGAGTTCCCATTTGTGTATATATATTTGGCTTATGTGCTTACCAATTAAAGACCCACATTGACTGGCGGGCACAATCAATCGAATGGGTATTTGAGTTTTACCAACTTTGCCAACATCATTGAACTGCGAGCACCACTGAAACGGGTTTCAAGTTAGTAATGTGAAGCGTGAGCTAATTTCAACAATTGGATACAATAAACACTACGAGCACTGTGATATTCTCGAACCAAGACTTTCTCTTGCCGCATGCGTTGCTCGTGTGTGTTTTGTATCAATTATTGTCTTATGCAATCTACTTGCCACGCGCATCCATTTCAATTTGGCTAGCGCAAACATACCTCTTCAAATTTCTTTGTAATAAGCGTAAATGCCGAGAAGATTGCGTTTGTTGTGCCAGATACCGTTACAATGCGTTCCGGGCATGAACCATCCGAAATGTTAATTTTGGCACCAGACTGTAAAGAATTGTAGGGTATATGTGAGTATATGCATTTTAGTTTTAGTATCAATATTTGCTTTACTCACCTCTTCGCGAAATCTGTTGACAATTTCACCCTTTTTACCAATAATACTACCAACTTCCTGTAAGTATACCGAAAACAAAAGACTTGTTAGTATTATCATAAATATTTGAAATATATCGACATAATTATATATTTTTTCATATATTATATAAAATAAATAATATTATTATCTTTCGTATCCCTATGCATATTTAATCACAGCTTAAATTGCAACAAGAAATAAAAAAGTAAGGATATCTTTGGCAAGCCGAAGACTTCATACCCTTGTGGACATTTGCCTTTTGCGGTATGTGAGAATTGTGAAGCTCATACTGAGTTTGATCTTGGAATACAGAATAATTTGCCATATAAAAACCTACTTTACGACCGATTGTTCCTATAACAGCCATATCGTATAGCAATTTGATGTTGATAAGATTTTGCATGCCGAGTTTGGTCTTGAAATCCTGATAAACAAAAAAAGTTGTCCATATAGAGATATTTGTATAAACTGATTTTGTAAAGATCATAGAAGAGAAAAACAAATAAAGGGTTTATTTTCGCTTTGCTTTTTCCTTTTTTCAAGGTTAACAAAATATATACTCTTCCTATTTTTAAAACATTTTTTTTTTTTTAAATAAATTTAACGAATATATAAAAAAAAAACTATTGTTACATGCAATTTTGTGCAGGGTATTTGCCAAGTCTGGCATTAAAATAGTCAATTTATATGTGGTTTACATTTTATTTCGTTTTCTATTCGTTGTAAGTAACATTGGCGGCGATGTGCAAATTCGATTAAATATTAAGTGATATTATACCATGTGTGTGTGTGTGTCAGTCTGTGTGCGTGTGTAAATACTATTGCATATTTAAGTGACACAGAAAGCGATTCACATTCAAACCCAAACGAAAGCACGGCCTGAAACCAATCCACCAACCCAACCACCCACTATCCACAGACAGCACAAGCCACATGCAGAAATTGCCGTTCGTAATGAAATTTGCGGGCAACGCGTTTTACGCGTTTTAATTGATTGTAAATATATGACATAGCCGCAGTGTTTTATATGTGCGCATATATCAGAATCTATGTGGGAGTAAGCTCCAGCCTCAACAAACTCTAATTGGCCATTCAGCAAAAGTTTTAAAGCAATTTTGCTACTCACTGAAACTTAAACAAGTTTTGCACAGCGATCAATAGTAATAGAAAAAATGAATCTATATATATATATAGAGAGAGAGAAAGAAATAAATCACATTAATTACACAGCAGCTGTCAGCTACACTTGTGTATCTATGGGAACGTGCTGAAATTTTAGTTTTGCCAAAATCGTGTTTCTGACTGTTCCTTTTTCTTATATTGCACATTAACGGCATTAATTAAAACTGCTGTTTAATTGGAATTCTTAGAATAAACGAAAGACATGTATTTTTAAATATCAATAGAAGTGCTTTAAACTCAAACTTTGATTTATCTTTGCCTAATTAAAATTACTTTAGCCTGCTCAATGACAGCTTACAAATTTACGTAATAATGTCGATAATCACATTAATTAAAGGTAAACATATCCAATGTACACAATCTGAATTGGATTGCAATTGCTTGGCATTAAACAAATATTTTATTTATGCAAATGCATATTGATTATTGCAAATGAAGCTTAGGGGTCGAAATTCTTTCTCTTTGCCGATAAGCAAATCATCTTATGACAGGAAATGCCTGAAATTTCATATATTCATCAGCAACAGTAGTAGCAAAAGCGCTCAATATATAAACTAAATTTTAATAGAAAAAGAAAATTTTTCTAAATGTAACATTTGGTTTGCTTTTATGCGCTTTTTAATTCTATATTTATATTTATTAAGATATATATTTAGATGCGTTAAAAAACTAATTGCAACTAATTGCCTGATAAAAATAAATTCAAATATTGTCTAAAAAGTTAGCTTCTTCTGAATTATTCAAACATTGACTCTATTAAAATTTGAAAATTAAGAAAATATTCTTTATAATTTCCTGTACAACATTTATAACCAATTAAAGCATTGCGTATTTGGGATTTAGTACAAGTATCTTGGTTAACCTTCAAACAGTGCACTTTACGTGTCTGTCGCAAAGTTTGTCTGAATTTCACAATGCCTACCCATGGTCGCACACACACACCCCCACACACACATACACAGAGGGACAATGCAAGGTATACAAATATTTTTTGGGCATTTTGCCAATCTGTCAGAAAATTGCAGAAGCAGGCAAAGCAATATAAGTATGATAGAGCTCTCCGCTCGCCCATCAGAAGCAATGTAAAAATGTTATTTGTCTTGCTTTTTGCCGCTTTTGTGTGTCATTTTACATCTACTTGTAAAATATTTATGCCCATGGTGCTAGCTAAATGGCCGAAATATTTATTAGACACAAATATCTGTAGGAATTGCCATAATTATTAGCATGATTACGGTCTATGGCTCTATGGGTCTATGCGTCTATTGCGTTCTTATGCCTGTCTGCGCTCAAGACAAATTTTGACGGCGCTCTATAATTTATAGGGGCCTCTCCATTGAGAAGCTACAAACCAGAACACACGCAGCCTAGACCATTGGCCATTAAGTTTGATGTGCTGCTCATTAGCGACGGACGCTCATCAACATTAATATCGTGGTCAAAATGCTGCCATTACCTCGGCAACCTCTCAGCCTCTCCGCTCGCACCAACAAGCCAACGTTTTATCGCCTGCATATCAATTGCCACTTGCGGCTTAGAAGCTTACGCAATTTGCATAAATCTGTGTTTTGCTCAAGCGTGAAGCTAAAGACATCATTGAATATTCGCATACAATGCACACAATTTTTGCACTTTCACCTGATTGCATGCATGGCATCGAACTGCTGTGATTCCTTTTTGGACAAGTTTCTGCGCACAGTTCACATTTTCTAAAATGCATCACTTTTGGCCACAACACCGCAGAGAACAGGCGGCTTGTTGGGCCATTTTGCATGCCAGCAATTAAATGCTAAAATTTTGCACTTTCAACTAGCAATCGATTTGTATGCAAAAATTCACTTTTGCGGTTGTGAATTCAAAATTTTGCATACTATTTTCGGTTTTTTTTTTTTTTATGTTATTGTTGCTGTTGTTGTCCGTATGTGTGCTGTAAAATATGCATGGCAAAAATGGACACGAACTGCAGCAAAACAATGTGAACATTTTTGTGGTCCAGTGTGTACACACATCAGGTTTAGTCAGCTACAACCTAAGCAAATTGGGTTTTCAAAAGGCATGTCATGTTGTGTGGCCATCGATTGGGCAGCAGTTCTTTGAAAAAGTAATGCATTAAGCTAAAAACAAGTTAAAAGCATATGGTTGATCAAGCTGAATAGATGGAATTGAAGTTTGTTTCAGATTGTTGCAGATTGAAATATTTAAATTAAACAGGTGAGACTAAGATTCATAAATGGAAAATAAATCATTCACACATTGGGCAAAGGAGAGGCAAGCATTAAGTGCTGCAGTTTAATTAGTTTCTTATAATTGAAGCCTAAACACTTTTGTTTTAACTAAATAAATAAATATATTTTATTGCTGGATTTTGTGAGAAATCCTTCGACTTTTCAACTGCTTAAAGTACTCCTTATGTTGTGTGGCAGATGTATCTCAATATTTAAATAACAAATCGTAAAAGACATGTATTAAATGCTGTATTGCTGTATTTTGCTGCTGACTTGCTTAAAGTATTGCTAATATGTTCTTCCGTTTTTTTTTTTGATTTGATATAGTTTTTCAATAAATCTCCTTACTAATATTTACTCTTGCGATTTTCAATGAATTCATGCTGATTAAATACATATATTCGGATTCCTTTAAATTAATTGCTTTCATTTAGCAAACACTTAAATGGGATTTGCCCCCTTCTTCATAGATTCCTCACGTTTACATAAGCTTCAAATATATCTCAATATTTACATCGAAACCGTAAAAGGCAAAGTGCTTAATTAGTCTGTTAAAGTTCAGGCCTAAACAATTTAAATCGAACTATATAAATAAATATATTTTGCTGCTAGTTTTGTGAGCAAACCTTCAACTTTAATAATTGCTAAAAAAAAAAAAAAAAAAAAAAAAGTAATCTCTTTTTGTTTTTCAGCATTATTTTGATTTTATATAGCTTAAGAATATTATCCAATTGTTAATCAATATCATTAGTAATGTGTACTCTTGTAACTTTCAATCTTTTCACGCTCATAGTATACATTTATTTAACCTCTTCATGCCTGGCACTTCATATATCATTCGAATTGATATAAGCTATTAATGTATCTTCATATTTACTAAAAGCCTCAATATGAATATGTAATTTTGTAACTTTCATCAACTCAAGCTTATTTATTTGGTCTCTTTCAAAATAATTGCTTTAATTAAGCAAACACTTAAGTGATTTGCATAGCTCTTCATATATGATACTATATTGACATTTATCTCGATATTAACACGCAAACAAAGCTAAAGTGCATTCAAAAGTATCCTAGAAATAGTTCGACTTGTTATTTAGTTTATGGCAATTAATTAAGACCACGGTCTGAAAGAGACGAACTTTTATTTAATCAAATTAAAAATGCCACTTGCTGTGACTTGTGAGAAATTGTAATTGCTGCTGTTGTGCCCTGGCAAATTGTAAATTATTTAATTGTACAGTTTGCACATTTCTGTTTTCATTTCAAGTGCCAGGAGCAGCAGCAGCAGCAGCAGAGCACACACACGTCAGCAATACAACGCGACAAATGTGCAGCATGATTTATTAAAAAAGGGCAAGAGGGGCGGGGCGAGAGGTGTGTGCGGGTAGGACCAACGCATTGCGCACACATGTGTGCAACAGCAGTAGTTTTTCGTGCAACAAGCGGCAACAACCAACACACAAACGAACACGCATGTTGTAGCTGCATATCCTGCCCCACCTGCCGCCCTGCTGCCAACAGTTGTCACATTGCATTTTCCAACATTTTGTTGCAACATTTTTCTTGCAATTTTTCTTGAACGACTGGCGCGTTCCCCATAAATGGTTCTCACGGTTTGGCAATTGTGTT